AAATTTTTTTTTTTTTTTTTTTGTTAATTATAATACTTGATTTAAGACTGCCACTCGATGAAATAGCACCCCTGGCAAATGCCCTCTTTCCAGTGCCTAACTACGGCCTTGAGTGGTCATATTATATATTATGCGTCATATAAACCGAGATTGAAGTGCTTAACATACTAATTCTATAATAGTTTAGTAGAATCCACGGCTTGTATGTATCTTCGAGGGACCTAGAGAATCAGTTGGGTATATTTAAACTGCGTTATATTCGAATTACAAAAACGCACTGCATGTGTGACATAAAACATGCAACCGGCAAGTCATATACATAGATGGCTGGGATTCATTCTATCTGATGGAATATCGTAACGTGATCTATTGTATTTTAAATGAATATTTATGTATAMCTGTATACGAAAATACCCATCGTCATTATAGTGTATGTGACACAATAAACGTATTTCTTCATGAGGRATTGGGCTTTGTGCACCTATCTTTGTAGACATGACATTGTATAGTTGAGAACATTATTATAGGTACCTATTATATCTTGTTTATACTTTTTGATTAACTGTTATATAATAATATATTAATTATTACACTCTGTGCGGTCTGAACTTTAAATATATTATATACGTATCCTGAGTTATATTTGTTGTAAATTTCGGGTATTGAAAAACACCGCCCAATATTCGAAATGTATTTAAATTTTTTTTCTCAAATAAAATATAATAATTAATGTTCAATTGTAAGTATAGTGGTGTATTGATGAGTATAATATTGATTCCCAAAACAGAATAGTAAAACGAAAATAGATCTTTGATAAAAACGTGTGTGCTGATGAGTTTTCTCTAGAATCGTATTCAAAATTAACTAACTTTTAAACTATCGTTTCGTTCCTATCCGATTTCCAAACGCTAACGCTAAAAAAGYAATGGAAAACTTTTGGAGTTCCCCTACTACGGAAAGACGCGCTGGTAAGTAATGAATAACTCTAAAGTTAGTTTATGAGAAAAATAATTCACGTTGGCACATTTATGTGTATTGTGTATAATATTATTTATCATCCTTCTCGTGCATAGTGCATTTACATTTTAATAATTTCGATTAAGTTTGAATTAATTCGTAATATGAACAAAACAACATATTATTGTTATGTTCTGAGCGAGTTTTAATAATTGTTTCTTTAATTTACTAGCATTTATAATAATTTGTACATTGACAYATTTAGTCTCTTTATGGTAGTCTATAAAAAAAAAACAACAAATAAATTGTAAGTTTTTAATTTTCATTCAGAAGGTTTTTTACGGGCAACTCCATATTATATTTAAAAATATTGATTGTACGAGCTAGTCAAAATAATCATTTTGAATACTCACGATGTTATATCGAACTTACTTCTCGTGGAATTATCATTAAAGTTTTTCGAATTTTTAATTATATATTGAAGCTATTGAACGGGTAAATCTATATAGAAAGTTACAAACATTATTTCTATGTCAAAAATATTTATATYGTTATATGATTACCAAAATATTGAATTTTTATAAAATTTTGCTATTGTGGTTTTAGTTTATAACAAYCCATGTCCAATATATTTAATTTTAAATTTGGAAACAGAATATAATTTTTTAATTAWATTGATTCACAATCGGCTACCTATTGATCAAATATAGTAATTAATATATGTAGTATTTAATGTTTTAAAGTTATAAGTTCAGTGGTTAAGTAGTAATGACCAAAATAATTTTGAAGGGATATCATTACTTATTGTCATATTGTAGTATTTTTACAATTTTACACAGATAATCAATCCTAAAAAACCAAATACACTATATTATAAAAATAATAATTACGATAAATAGTTTTTTTATGTACATTTCGATCTATGCTTATGTCCTTCAAAAACTTAACGAACGACGCGCAATCATGCATTAAAAAACCTTGAAATATTCCATTAAATATGATCTACAAATTCTTAGAATATACGAAAAAAAATTAAGTTCATGTAATATTAGCGGTAACACAAGATTTTTTACTAGAGGGCAATATTATTATCCAATGATTATTGAAGAGGGGGCTACGAAATTTCAATATTAAAGATATCTCTTTCATTAATTTGATAAAAATATTTTCTCAYACGATAAACATAATAATATTAATTATAGCAGATGGTCAAAAATTAATTTCCTTCTAGATATTTTGATTACTTACTACGAATTAAGGTAATCAAAACAATACCTTAACAATCTTAGCCTGTCGTAAAAAATAATATAGTAATATAGTACAAATGACGTCATGAACGTTTTAATTTAATTTAAATTTGGTAAATTACAGATAGGCTTAGTTGGAAAAGTCAAATTTAGTTCCCACTAAATAAACCTCACCCYTTTGATCCCACATTGATCGGTGCCTCTAAATTATAGTTGCATTCAAATAAACGGTATGTGATATTGTAAATTGTAATCGCATTATATATAGAAGATAATAGTAATAACAATAGTAAGTACTTACTTGCCATTTATCGCAAGCAATGTATTCGTAAATATAGATCGCTCCGTGTACCTATAATAATATCATAATATATTTATATATATAACAATGTCAGTGTCACAAGCTTCATTATTATAACAAAAGATGCGTACGTGGTGCGTATAAAATATAAGTAATAACAATGTGTTCCCGTGAAACGGTAAGTATATTATTATATTGTATTTGAGTGCAACAGGTTTAGGCGTTACCTTGGTATAACTTGTGAGGTATCAATATTTTTGTTGAATAAACGCACTATAATTATTAATATAATCTCTGACGT